TGAAACGGATCTCATATCAATACATGACATGAGCGTTTCGGAAGGCGGAGGCCCTTAAGCCTTCGTAAACGTGGATGGAGGTTTCAATTCATTTTCGATTTTCCTTCTGCAATTCCAGCATTTTTCTGTTATTGAATTCTTAGCAAATATTGAATAATGAAGTGAATTTTAATTTTTTATTGAAAATGCAAAAAAAAAGAACTGATAACCGAGTGCATGCGTAAAATTTTAAATTGCAAATATTTACAAGCTCGCATAGAAATGAGGAAAAGCAAATATTAAGCCACAACACAACTGTCAACGTTGCCTCACAAAACCGCAAAAGGAAGCAGCCAAACAGTTTTTTTGTGTCCTTATAAGGTAGGCAAATACCAGGATGAAAATCCAGGAGAAGGCGGAGGCGAAGGATAAAAAATTGCTCCGTATTAAAATAGGTACGAGTACTTCAATTTTATTTCAATTGAATGATATGCAAATTGAAATATATAGCTTAATATATACCATATATATATAGGTATATATATATATATATATAGGTATGTATTGTGGGTTGGACGTGCTGCAGGTACAGTCGGAAATTGCAATACGCAAGGAGAAATCAAATTGTGAAGTGGTTTTGTATTTCTTTGGAAATGTCGTTGGCACCTTTTTGCAAATTACAAATGTGTGAGCACTGCTTTGAATTGTACATCTTTGAAGGTGGAAGGTGTACGATTTCATTTCAGTACGATGTCTAGCCACCGTTGATGTCTGCATTGACGCTTTGATGGAGTATTTTTGCCTCTTCTTTAGGTTACCAAGTCGCCTGCAAGTTGCTATCGATGTTGACTATTTGTAGTTGGCGGTGTTTTTGTGGTATGGCGGTTCCACGAGTTTCACCCATTGCAGGCATTACTTTTATTGCCGTGTGATGCTGATGTTGTTGAACTCAATTTTAATAGGTAAATTTGGTTGCAAAGCGCATGTAAATGGATTCATTAGAATTTTATTGCTTCTTTAATGGGTTTCAAGTTGGTAGACAGGAAACAACACCAACACCAACAACAACAAGACATCTTACTGCACCGCACAACAAACATCGCAAGATTGTCGCATTTGATAACAAGTTCAGCTTAGTTGAACAGTCAATTGCCAGATGTTGGCTGTAAAATAATTTCAAAATGAAATTATAAAATCAGCAAGTCTCTCTAATGCAATATAATTTGTTTTTAGTATTAAGCACGGAAAGTTCTTAATTGCTTTTTCAAGAATATTTTGGTAACGACTCGACACATATTTGTCTAGTTGCGGTGTGTATTCCTGCTAAGATAGATTTTCTCTATCCTACTATACCTAGAAGGATAGTTATTTGTGTGGCTGCCCACTTCAAGATCAAAGTTAGGGAATAATTAGTTTTGTTTATTAAAGTATCTTGATGATTACTATCACATGTACTTACTAGAAAAATGTTACTTATAGAGTCATTAATTTTAGACAATCAGTTTATATTCAACTATAAACACTTATTACACAATATATGACGTGAATTGTTTTAATGATGACGAAGTCCGTGAGTTTTTTAAAACTTTCACACTGTTTCGATGGCAATAAATAAATAAAGTCCACTCCATCCATGATTTAGGAATCTTTGTCTATGTTGTTGTTGATGATGATGCATTTGTTGTTATTGTCTTTGTTGTTGTTGTTGATGATGATGTTACCTGTGTTGTTTTTGTCTTTGTTGTTGGTGTCGTAGTCTCTGTCGTAGCTTGTACAGTTTCTTTTGGGATTATTGAACGGCACTTGAACGTCGAACTAAACAACCCGGCTGCTTTTGGAATTGCTCTTAATTTTAGCTTTTGCTAACTCCCCGATAATATTATAGAGCGGTATAACATACTTAGAATCGTTTGCCAAATTTGTAAGGCTCGAAAAATACGTTACGTGTAAGATTTTAATATAATGATATCAAAACCTTTCCTTGATGAACGTTTGCTTTCGATATCATCTAATACTTGCTCACCATAATGTTATAAAACATCTACTATCCATCGCCAGTTATCAGCTACTTTAAAAAAGGTTCGTTTTTCCTTATGTTTATTGAGAATATCGGCAATGTTTATAGTCACTCAGATTAACTTATCTTAAGTCAATGCGAATATCAAATATTCAGATTACTTACATATCGAAATTTCTTTACATAGTCGTAAAAGCAGCCACTAAGCACCCACTATTTAAATGGAATTTTTTCAGTAATCTGTCATACGACCGACTTTGACAACGTCGACATTGTGATTTTAGTGTCCGCTAACTCTTATCATTTATTTGAAAGCAACAACTTAACTTGCTTTATAAGTTAACTAAGTCAACTTAGTTCTATTTCAAACTAGTAGGCTCTTACATTGTGACCGAAAGGTTTTCGGAAATTCTCATTTAAAATTCGCGCACTGTATATTTTTCGATATTTTAAGTTTATGTAGTTTGGCAGCAC